TTGTCAATATTCATGGGGTTTTAAGTTCTATGTACATAATGAAACTCTCAGTGCCATCGGTGTTTTTCTGATATTAGTGATCCACAATTCCAAAAGAGGGCCTAGAGAGGTGGGCTCAGAGGGCACAGTGTTTGCTAGGGAAGCATGAGGACCCAACTTCATATGCCTAGCAGCCATGAGAGAGTCAGCCATGCATCTGTAACCCCGGCACTGGGGTCAGAGATAGGCACATCTAAGAGGATCACTGGCCACTCAGGATAGCCAATAACAAGCTTCAGGTTCAGCAAGAGACCTTGTCTCAAAAACTAAGGTAGAAAGTTAGTGGGGGAGATACCCAGCATTGACCTCTGACTTCCACATCGCATACTTAGACAAGTGCACCCCCAAACAAATATGTACACATACAAACATGCATACATGCAGACAATACACAGAAACACACAGATGTGTGCAAACAAAAAAGCACAATTGTAAGGTGGACTCAGCATGATGACATACGCCCATAATCCTGTCGCTCCAGAGGCAACACCAGGAGGATTGTTGTGAATTCCTGGCCTGCTAGGGTTACATAATGAGCCTCAACAACAACAGCAATAATAATTAATGATAATAAAATTCTAAGGATAGTAGAACTTACATACCCTTCATGACCATTTCATTGGAAACAAAGATAAAGGGGAATCGAGAATAGAAGTGTTTACAAGAGTTGACAAAAGAGAGAAGGAGAGAGAACTGTAAACGGGTGCAGGAGTGGGTAGGAGGCACGACTCAGATGTTTTGAAGCGCAATAAGGAAAGTGCAGCTGTTAATAATTAATTGGACACTTCAAATCAGAGAGGATTTTGAGTTTTCCCACCACAGTGTTTGAGGTGATGGATATGCCAATCCCCATGAACTGATTATTGCACTTCTTTATAGTATCAAAATACTAAGCTTTGTCTCAAAACGATGTACAATTAAAAGTGAAAGAAGACGGCAAGATGGCTCAGCAGGTTCAGGGGTCTGCCCCCAAGCCTGATGATGTGAGTTCAGTCTTGAGGACTCTCGGGGTGAAGTGAGAGAAATAGAGTCCAATGAGTTTTCCCCTAATCTCCACATGTACACAATGGCATATGCACACATAAATGAATAAATAAATAAATAAATGAATAATTGTTGGAAGGGCGAAAGTATTTATGATAACAAAAACCGATACAAAAGGACTCACACAAAGATTCTGTCTATCTTATAAGAGCAGGGAGATTGGGTATTTTTAAACAGGGTGGCAATTCGGAGATAGGAAAAAAAAATTTCTGAGTAAGAGGAATGATTATACAAGAGACTGTATTGGGTTCTTCCGTGAGGGCAACAAACTATCAGTCAGCTACATCCAGGCATTCCTTCACGGCAAGGGACGTGTCCAGTTTATCTAGCAATCCTAAAAAAGAAGGCTGTATGCATCCGGTAAGTATTTCATGTTCGTTAAATTGCAGTGTAATTTTCCATTGCAAAATTGTTGGCAATAAGCAAGTGACTACCACCTAATCAGCCATTCACAGCATACTCTTTCAAGCCATTTTATTCGTGAGAACTTTTTACATGAGATTTTTATGAAAGAATTTCCAGGTTATATTATTGATTGAAGAAGCAAAGTGTAGAATCCTCTCACTTGAGTAATAAGGAAATGATATAGTGATGTCTTGACTATAGTCACCAGTGACAAGTTTCTCTTCTCAAGTCTCTTTGGGTGCTTTGAACACCTCTGTGTTTGATGCCCATTGCTTTCTCTAAGGTTTGGGAGGTTTTCTGGTTTAATTTCACTGAATAGATTCTCTGTGCATTCAGTTTTGTTAGCTCCTCTTTCTGTTTCATGAATTCTTGGCTCTGATCTCCTCTGCATAGCCCAGGGCTCTTGGAAGATTTGGTCATATTCTCTCTCTCTCTCTCTCTCTCTCTCTCTCTCTCTCTCTCTCTCTCTCTCTCTCTGCAGCAAAATGTTTGTTCTCTACCCCTGACATTCTTTCATTCTTTCTTCTGATTCATATTGTGTGGAATTTTGAATTTTCCCCAGCTATTCTCATTTAATAATTAAGTTTAAGACATTGAGCAGCTGTAAGAACACGGGGATGTCTTAACAGCTTGTTTTCTCGTAGTTTTGGTGTTTATTGAGTTCTGTGCGTTGCATCTATGAGAATGGGTGTTTCCTCCAGTTTTTTTTTTCCTCACTTTTTGTCATGTCGATTTTGAGTCTTCCTGATAAGTTGTCTTCACTTGGATTTATTCCCTCTGCCACTATTTAGAAGAAAACCCCAACTGTAGTAACAGAAACAACGGTTTCACAGAAATCCTGGTGCTCACAGTGAAGTAAAATATACTTGTATACATCATTCACGTTTCTAACAATTTTCATAGACCCAGTTTCTAGTGTTACTTTGCTAATGGTTGTCCTCCTACATATATCCACGGTGTATGTGTGTTTGTTTGTCTGTTTGTCTGTGCCAGTGCCCCGCAGTTCTTGCCTGAGAACAACTGCATCCATCTGTAGACCGTGCCAAGCTCAGCACACGTCTTATGACCCTGTATTGCTGCTCACCTAGACAACAGCAAGGGTGGTGTCACTCCAGGATAAAGGCAAAGATGCCCAATCTTTGGGTCCCATGTGCACTTCTACCATATTCTCTGTGGCCAGCCTTGCCTAACCATTCCTTTCTGCCCGTGATGCTCCTAGGCTCAAGTTGCCACTCCGCAGCCTTTTCGGTCACTCACGTTTCAACCTCTCAGGCTCACACTCCTACAGTGTCCACGCTAGGGATGGTACAGCACATCCCTGACAACTGCCACTGGCCCGGACTTGGAGGGGTCTCCATCAGTTAGCAACTGCTCCTAGCTGTGTCGTACATTGGGGAATGTGTGACTCTAACCTCAGCTTGATTGTTTTCTGTGCATACTTTTTCCTTCTCTTGCGACCCCCTTTATATGCTTCTGCATTTCTTCCCCTCTTCCTTAGTAATAGAACCTAATCTTCTGTATCGTAGCTCTTTCCCTTCACCAAGTCACAGAGAGGTAGATGCTAACTCACCTTCTTGCCTGAGCACACTTCACCACACTTCTTGACACAGCTTGGTCCACAGAATTCTGTCTTCTGGCACATTGCTTTTGCAACAGATGAGGTCAAGCTTAAAAGCATCACGTTTTCCCATAAGCCTCCTGCTCCTTCTAGTTCAAGGTGAGGTCCTTCTTTGTTATTGACCAGTTTTTCTTTTTAATGATCATGGTAAAGGCTGTGTGACTGAACCAATTTCATCTCCAGCCTACACATTTCCTCCATCTGCATTGCTGATCTCTAACCTGCATTGCTGATCTCCGTCCCTGCATTGCTGATCTCCGTCCCTGC